AAGGCACAGTTGACCCTGTGTGCTGTCTACATGTTGACTGCCCACACAGCTAGTAAGGACATGTCCAACCAAGCTTCTTCTAAAATGTAGGCCATATGATCTCTGTTGCGACTACTTGACTCTACCATCGTAGTCCAAAAGTAGCTCCAGCTAATATGCAGTTGAATGGGTGTGGCTGTGTTCCAATAAATCTTCATTTACAAAATCAGGCAGATCGTCTGTAGTTTGCTAACTACAGCAAGCTGTTACTAAGATAACTAAAAAAGACAAAAATATACATCAGTATTTCTATTTCGTTATCCAGCGGAGAAAGACTTGAGACAGAACTGCATATGTTGGTATTTGAGATGTTTTTGATCTGGTCACGGTTTGATCACTGGGCTTGGGTAATGCAACAGAGAACGTATTACGCATGCCTGGCTTCTCTTCAGCCTTGCTACAAGGAAATCATACCTCACAGAACAGGCTCCTCAGAGAATCTTCTAACCTCAAATAGAAAAACTATCATTCCTCATTTTATAGAAGTGGAAGACAGAATTGTCCTAGCAAATGATGATTCCACAAAGTAACATAAGCCTGTACAGTAGAAAGCATCAGAACCCTAGGAGAGTTATCTAAATCAAGCCCTACAATTAAAATGGTTAGCTTCTCTAGTTTAAATGGAGATGACACAAACATCAAAAAGCTATACAATTATGAAAATGTATTCTTTGAAAATCTGAGGTTCCTATAAACATGGACGTGTGATTCACAATTTATGATCAAGACAATCTTGATTAGAGGTTTGGAAACAACTAGACCCACACCATCTTTTAAGAAATGATCCCTGGGATAGGCAAGAATCTTGCCCTAGACCTAACAACAACAACAACTCAAAGGCACATCAGAAATAGTAATTTAAAGTCAGGGAATCAAAAGCCACAGATGTAGCAGCTTCTTAAGAGGAGTGGACCAGTACATGTTCTCCCCATGTTTGCAACAGAAGCAACACAAAGAATAAAGACTTAAACTCTTTCAAAAAACCAAGCCAAAACAAAACAAAAATCCAAAAACAAAAACAAAAAACAATTATGTGACTGTTAGGAAAAACAAAGTATATGGTGAAGCAAGTTCCAGCAGTTTTTTTAAAAGTCAAGGCCAAGGTCTTCCTTATCAATTATTTCTACCTCTTCCTATTCTCTCTCCTTCAAAAGGTTTTGCAAGGATCAAATAAGATACACATGAAAGTGCTAAATAAACCATTAGGCCCCATAAACAATATAAGTGGCACCATATATTTTATTATCACCATTGTTATTACATTGATCGACTGAACTATTGCCATGCTGACGATTAATTTTTGGCACTCAATCTTTTTAATAAGACCCTAAGCTCCTGGAAGGCAAATGCCCAACTAGCATAATGGAGAGCACTGTTGTTAGAATACTAACAATACTCGATGGCCACTCAAACAGCCTTTGGACCGAATTGAAGTTGACCCCAGAAAACAGCAGATGTTCAATAAAAAGTTTTTAAATGAATGAATAAATAAATAAATAATAGTTACCCAACACACATTAGCTCTGATTTTCAGTTGATTGTCTTTTATTTTTTCTCTTCTAGTTTAGTAAGTCAGTACTCCATAAATGTTCCCTTCCTCCCTCTGTTCTCACTCCCCACAGCATCAGATGCTGGAAGAAAACACAACCCCTTATGTTACTGTTAGTTATAGGCATAAAGGGTCACTGAAAAAATGCTCAACACAGAGACCACACAATATGTGTGTTTGTGTGTGTGTAACGGGGAGGAAGCACTGGAGCCAGAAGAGATGATAGAGACAATAGAGAAGGTAGGGTGAGATAAAGACCGAAAGATTCCAAAGACCTTCTGGGAATCTGGAAGAAATCTCCCCTGCAGTTAGGGGTAGTCAGTAAAGTGCCAGCCTTGATTTTACAATGTGTGAACTCCTACAATATATTCAGCCATATGAAGGTTTAAAAACCAGACTGATGAAAAATAAACAATTCCGAAAAGCTTTAATTCATAAAAACACGGCTAAAAGCAATCAGGTTCCTGCGATCGCTGATAAGCGGTCTTCTCAGGATACAAGCAAGAGAGCATGCATTCTCTTGGCCTCAAAGTGGTCCCCCTGCTACTTCTTGCGGGTGGACTTAGCACTCTTTCTTGACTAACGTGGTCTTTGAAAACAACCACCACCACCACCATATTCCTTAGTAAGCAATCATTTTTAAAGCTTGGGATCTAGTTCACTGCATTAAGGAAATAAAATTAGACATATATCAAAGATGGTACTGCCATTGATCCTTAGTCTAAAATGGGTATTAGAACTTCAGAGAGGTAGGCTTCTTTTTAAAACTAAATGTAACTGCGTGAAAGTCAGTATAGGAGCACAGCTTTAGCCCTTTCAGCATCCATGGAGACCAAACCGTAATTTTGGAGTATTTTCACTGGACCTTTGACAAAGGTGTAACTTTCATTTCTGATGATCTCCCCCATTCCACCATTTATAAAAAGTGCCAAATACTTTTAGAAGAAGAATGGCAAAAAAATACAGGACAATACAAGATCACAAATGCAAAGTTTTCTGGATGCATGCTACTTGAAATTCTCATAATCTGACCATTTACACGTAGGCAGTGACTTCATGTTGGTCCCCAAAACACATTTAAAAATCCTGTCGTAATATCCTTCCCTAAAGAGGTATTCGTTTAAGAAGACAAAAATGATGTAGGATCCATCTTGTTTATCTTGTACCACTTTGTGACACAAACACCGTATTTGTTTCTTATGTGTTATTCAACAAGCCCTCCACCATAGTAATTTCTAAGCCATTACTCTTTTAAAAATTCCTGATGAATGTGGTACTACTGTTCTAAAGGATGAACTGTCCATTCTACCTTTTTCATTCTTCTGTTTCAAATTACCAATACCCCTCACTTCTGATCATAAGTGATTTTCAGAAACCTTTCCACTAATCTTACTTTCCTTTTAAGTAAAAAATCATTACCCACTACCCTCAGCTACCAACAGAGCACTGCTCTTCACGTTAAAAAAGCTGCTCGCCCATGACGCTTGTCTCAGAAAATTTAGAAGCCTCGCTAAAAAGCTGAGGAGGAAAGCTGCTGGGAATGTTCACAGATACCCGATTTAACAAGGTTCTGTGAAAAGAGCTTGCCTTTAGATTAACATTACTCAATGTTTATGAGGGTTGTTTGTCAAGCCAAAAATAAGGTGCCTCCTCCCCACAAATTAAAGAGTCAAGTTACAATCCATTATTTCATTTCTGATTGTTTTTCTTTGTAATAAGTGGGAAAGTGGATACTGGATAAAAGTCTCTCCGGAGCTAAAAGACTCCACATTAAAGGCTTCAATTAGCTATAAATCAGTTGTCTTTCCTACTGGGGGAGAACAAGAGAAAAAGAGAGCAGGGGAAGTTGGGAAAAAAAGAAAACTGGAAGAGCTTCCAAATTAAATTCCGGGATACCTACTGCATACCTAAAACTCCTTTCCGGGGCTGGGAGGAAAATCCAAACAAAAGTTAAGACTAAACTCGAACCCTCCCAAATATGAGAGTTCGCTCCTGTCTCACGGGGAGATCTTGGAACTTAAGACCTTTAAAGAGAGGCTGAAGAGGTTAGGGACCCTCATAAAACAAACCGTTTATGCTGTATACTTTCCCCGCTCGTTCCCAAACCCAGATATGTGCCCCCACATTGGCACTATTGTTATGCAAACCATCTAAATGGCTGTAACCACTAACGACCTCCCATTAAAACGGCTTTCAAAAATTTGTCACACCATCTAAAAAAGCTAACAGGTACATCAAACCCATCATAAACCGGGCGTTCAGAACACGAATCACCTTGGCTTGTATTCTAAAACTAACACAAGTAAAATTTCAATATTCGGATTTTGAAAAAATTTCTCTCTCAACCATTAAGCCAAAACCAAACAATCTACTTCTCAACAAATTTAGTTTATCTCGTAATAAGCAAGATGGAAAACAACTTTAACCCTATTGTGTGCGCGCCGTGTGTGTCTAAGTTAATCGGAAGAAATTTGGGGTAGAAATCAACTGAGAGGATAGAGAATCAAACAAGAGAACTGTAAAATGAACTCCAGGGAACACGACTTTCAATCCCATCTATCTCCCCCCTCTCCGTGCTATAACGTTATAATCACCCCTTGTGCCTAATCAATATATTTTTTCTATGTGGAATTCATAGAAAGTAAATTCAATTTACATTAAGGCAGCGAACGCATATTCTTTTTTATGTGGTGCAACAGCAACAAAAAACCCTGCTTGGCAAACCCAAGATGTCAGAGTTCGTTATAAAAAATAATTTCTTTTCCGTCCGACAGCGAGCCCGTTCGTTCGCACACACTTAGAGAGTTTCCGACTTTTCCAGGAGGGCCGCCGCCGCCTACAACATTCGAACGAAATGCCGGCAGTGGAGCTGCCGGTCGCCAGCAGCCAGGTTTCCGCGCCATCTGCAAAGGCGGCCGGAGCGCCGCGCGCCGGGTCAGCGCCTCCGGGAAAGCCGCTCCGCACGCGCGGGCTTCTGAGGGCCGAGCGGGACGCGCAGCCCAGCGGCCCTGAAGGCGCAGGGCCGCCGGGAAGAGCGGCCGGGCTGCACGGCCCACCTGGCGGGAACCCTTCCTCCCCACTCGAGGAGTCGAAGCGGTGCCGACGCCTTGCCCGCCGCAGTCCGGGCCGCGAGAATCGGATCGGAAGGCAGCGGCAGACGCGGCAGGGGTAGGGAGCCGTTGACCGCGACCCCCGGCGCCGCGCTTCAGGTTGGGGTGAGTCCCTAAGGCGTCGCGAGACCCCGCAGGACTTCGGATGCCCCAAGCCCGAGGACGGGGCGTCCGTCTGCCGCGCGGGGGTGACAGGCTGGCCCCTGAGGCCGTCACGCCACGCTCGCTCCCTAACAGATCATGGACAGGAAGGAAGGTTCTAGAAAGCCTCGGCGGACGGCAGGTCCTCGCCGGCCGCTTACCTTGGTGTACTTGATTTCGAGGTTGGGCGTGGGCGATGGCAAGAGGTGCAGGGACGCCATGAGGGCGGCGGGGTCGGCCTTCACCTCGCCGGGCATTTCGATCTTACTGGAAGTCATGGTGGCGGGCCGAGGTCTCGCTCGCCCGCGGCGTGGGCTGTGCGGGCTGTGCGCGCGGTGCGCGGGCCGGGGGCGCGCTCGCCTGTATATAGGCAGGTGTCAAGCTGGGGCTTTTCTTATTGGACGTGAGGGCCGAGGCGCGGGGGGCTGGTCCATCCTACCTAGGACGCCCGGGCGCAGCCCCGATTTACATAAAGCCCGCCGCCCGCGCCGCGCGGCCGCTTCGCTCGGCGCCCACGGTCAAGTGCGGCCGGCGACAAGCCGGCTGCGGGCACAGACCCACGCCCACCCCGCTGCCGCGCAGGCCTCGACGGCCGGAGCCGGGACCCGCGCCGCGGCCGCGCGGGGCGCGGAGAGCGGGGCCGGCCTCGCTCCGGCACGGGCGGCGGCGGCCGGGGGCGCACCTTGGCGGATGTCGCGCGCGGGCCGTGGCCCCAGAGGCAGAGCGAGCGGGGGCTAACGCGGTGTCGGCGGAGGAAGCTTCCGGGGCGCGGAGGGCGGCTCTTGGGGCGCCGAGCGGGCTCGGCCGCTGGTGGGGCGCGCCTGGAGCCCCTCCCACCCGCGTCCCGGGGCCCGCCGAAGGCGCGTCCCCCCCTCCCCCGGAGACCCAGGGGGCGCCCTCCGCTCTCCTTCCTCGGGCAGGCGGCCCCGCACACACCCACGGCCCACAGCCGAGCCCGAGCTGCGCCCGGCCGCAGGCTCCGGGACCGGTAGTGATGAGTGCGAGTCCTTCGCCCCACACTCAAAATTAAGTATCCCCGCAAGGCGTCCCTCGCCCGGCTTCTCCCGCCCAACTGCTGCCCTCTGCCGGCTGGGACCGTCCCGGTCGGTCTGGGCTGCGCCCCAGGATGCGGGTGTTGGTCCTTATAGGCTCTTGCGAGTTGCATGTTTCATTGGCCCCTCTGTCTTTCTTCTTGGATCCCCCCTTCCAGCGCTTAACTCCTCGCCCCCAAATAACACAACGATATACTTGCTTTGCTTTTCTGTTGTTTTTCACGCCAACAGCTATCATCCCTCCAGACATGGGGTTCCTCACATGGCTGCCCCTTTGGGTTTGAGCTTCCATATCTATACCCCCCTAATTTAGGTGTTTATGTAGCTCCAACAGGCCTTCTTCTAGTTTGTGGGATCTTAGAGGTCAGCATATAGGTGTACGTCCAGAACTCAAGAGATCCCATCCCAGAATGGACTTTGGGCTGGGTGGGCCAAATCTGGGCTTCAGATAAAAAGACCTTAATAGGTCATGTCTCCCCCTCTCTCCCAGTGTAAGATTGACAGGGGCCTACTGATTCTTATCTTTAATGCCATATTCAGAGCCCTTACAACCTCATTTCTTCGGGTGTTAAGGGTCAGCCAGAAGAGATCTTGCCTTAGATACTTTCCCTAACTAAAAATGCCTAACACTCAGTGCCTGGATACCAACCAACAGTAGAAATAGACAAAAATATTGCATTTTAGTATTAGGTCTGTAGAAATAAATCCCAGCCTCTCAGAACCCCAAAGTAACTACCCAAGGTTACCTGAGTGAATTACCTCAGCTTTAGGCAATAGAAAGATCTCAATTCACAAGGGGATCACTATGGCCAAAAATTGTGTTCCAGTAACAGTCTATGTTCATGAGATACAGGTGGGTTTTTTTTTTTTTAAAGCCTTGGAGAGTTGGAGATATAATTGAGGAATAAAAAAATAAAGTCGCAGAGTTAGTTGGGGAGAGAGGGAGAAGAGAGTAGCAAGGGAGAATCACTGGTGCTCGGGGAACAATTCTGCCATGTTTTGCAAGGCACAGTACTGGAGGCTGGGTTACAAACAAGGTGGGTAGCCCTTACCATCAGCGAGCTGGAATCCTCTCCCCACAGGGAGATAGATCGCTGACTATGAGGGGCTGTGGGGAAAAGTTGCAACAGAGCATCAACCGAATGATCTGGGGCTCCACTAAGGAAGAGGCCAGCTCTCTGGGATCGCTGGCCTTTGATTTGGGCCTTAAAAGGAAAGGTGAGACGTCCACAGGGGAGGAGAGGACAGAGTAGGCAGTAGAGTCCACAAGAGCAAAGGCCTAGAAATGCGAGTGGGGGGGGGGGGGCGGGCATCAATGTGACTGGAGGGGCAGAGGATGAACCTGGCAAGGCAGTTAACTCAGGTTGTAAGGACCTTAATTCTTGAGACACTGAGAAACCATCAAAAAATTCTGAACATGAGAAAAAGGAAATCTGTGTAAATTAGACTGATAAATGAATATTGTCAGGAAAGTCTCTCGCAAACTGGAAACCACTGAGCTGTATTCTTCTCCAAGCATAAGACAGGGTTGCTCCCCCTTGACCCACTTCTTGCTTGCTAACTCCAGTTCTAGCACCATGGCTGGAAAATCTTCTCCCAGGGAAGGAGCAGTGTGATGGAATCATTAGCATCTGTTACACAGTGATATAGAGCAAATAAAGAGATTCCCTCTTCTCCAAGCAAGGAAATGAGAATCTCTGAGCTTCTCCTCATAAACAGCTCCAAAAGGTCTAGTGCATTTTTTTTTTTTTTGGTCCAATTCAAGATGGGGGACAAGATTGAGCAGGAAAGAACATGGAATTATAACGACTTCTTCAGTGTACGTTTTCTTCGTTTCTGTTCGTAGGACTTAACTCTGCTGCTACTTACTCGTAAGGCTGCTGGAACCTCTCTTCTCACATTCTTAGTCTTTCCTTCGCTTCTCTTTCTTTTACTCTTTTCTATTATTTTCTCATTTCCTCTATAGATTTCTCCATGTAAGTTAAAGTGGCCATCTTCCCTTCAGATTTCTAGCATTTTGAAATTCACTCTTTTCCATGATTTGGTGAAGAAACATTTTTTTCCCCACCCTTATAATGTTTCTTTCTCCCACCCTCTCCCATCTGTGATTATTTATTGTTTAGGATACATCTTGTTTATAAAACCCCCTGCACAAGGGAACACAAGCTACAGCATGCTCTATTTCCTTGTGAAAATAATTTATTAGGCCTGGTGGAGCCAATATCCTGGAGTTGTAGAGGAGAAAAATAAATTCTTGCCTCATATTTCCTCACCTAAATAATAGAATGCAAAGTTGTAATTTTAAGGCATCCGCTTTATGTGAAGTTAGATTTTTTTTTTTTTAAGGTATGAAACCATAGCAGTCTGGGCTTATTTTTAGTTTGCAGTTATGGAGGAACAAATTGAGAAACATGCTTTAGAAAATCAATGAAGGAAACAGTTCCTCCTAACCAAGGAACACTTTTGGTTTTGACAACAATGTCCAGCTTGAACTTCAAGCTTCCATGTTCAGGGGCTATTTCAGCCTCAGGTGGCCCTGCTTAATTGCCTTCCTGTTCCCATTACTAACCATGCTGACAGCCCACCTTTTCTAACAGATACACTTGCATTTTAATTTATCTGCAAAAATAAATCACACATTATAGCATTTCTCTCTTCCGGGTTAATTGAATCAGTTCCTTAAATGTCTCTAAGTCTAATGATTTAAAAGGAGCACATTGTTTGAAATATTTAAAAAATTAGGGCCCTTGGGTTGTATGCAGAATGATCTCAGTGCTTATTTCAGATATAAGTGTTTCCTAATGATCTCATTCATCTCAAACGGGATATGCTCAGCTACTTCATTTAAAATGTTTCCTGAAAACTCTAACAGGAAAGCTTAATGCAAAGTATATTTATAGAGATGGTATTTAATTTATTAACAAAAGCTTATAGAGAGCATTACATGTTTTTATCCAGAAATGCTTAATGAAGTATTTTGGACCCATTCTGAAACAAATTCACATTCTATAAACAAATTCACTTATATTTTTATTTAACGTGAATATTAACTTTTTATTTGGGATCTAAACACTCATTTAATTATCCTCTTTCTTCCAACATCTAGAAGAAAAGAGGCTGAGATTGTGGCATTTATTAACCATAAAAATTCTCTTCATATTAAGTCCCTCATACCCCAGTGTGGCCTCTGGTCACTGTATTCTATGAAAAGGGGGTATTTATGGTTGCAGGGATTAGATTCCTAATTGGTTATGACTCCAAAAATAATGTTTTGATACAAAACACTGCTCTTTCCTTTTAAAATATATCCTCTACCTTTTGGGAGCCCCGAGAGACTATTTTAAAAGTGGAAACTAGATTTGTCTTTGTTGTAAAGCCAAGTTCCACCTCATATATGTTTTAGAGGCTTCAATCTAGGGGCAGGGATGAGCTCAGCACTTTATCAATAGTCACACTTAACAGGCACAGGGAGAAATTACAATCCCAGCTACGCAGCCTTCTCTGCCAGGCCTGAGGAACAGGGCATTAGCCCCCCCTGCAGTTGATGGCATGTATGTACAAACGAACGGGAAATGGCAATAGGCAATAGTTGGGATTTAGTGTATTTTATCTGCTACTGTTTGGCGATGTTACAGTTTTAATTTGAATTAAGCTGGAGATGGGAAAAGATCTCAGAATGCAGACAAATTAACTACAGTTAATTTAGGAGAGGGACTTTCATTTAAAAAGCTTTAAAAAAAGCTTTTGACTTTTAAGAAAAGAATCATAGTGTTTATTTGCCGAGTTTAGTGCAGAAAGTAAAGTGCTCAGACCCCTACAGTCCTGCTCACACAGTAGTCCAGAGCATCCCTGAGCCAGTCACATGGCTGTGTCTCAAATGGGGAGCAACTATTTTTATCATGGTGGGTGAGGAAGGGTTACTAAAAAAAAAAAAAGAACTCCTTTGGCATGTGACTAAGTTAAGTTTGCTTTTCTGTTTTCCTTTCATGTTCCTTAATTTGCAGTTTTCCTTTCACTTTTAAAATTCTTCACATCTACATGTAACTCTTAACTGCTGCTACTTACTTTAGGGCTCTCCCATTCTTAAACATAAGCTCCTTCCCCAAGTCCTTCTGCTCTTAGGCGGTCAGTCATCCAAAGGGTCTTTCTTCATATGGAATGGTCACATGAACTTTGGTGATATTTGAGGCAAGGATCCATATCCATGTTCACAAGAAGACGAGGCTCATTGAACAGTCATCGTCTCTCTTTTACATGCTGAAACGAGCCTCTGAAAATCTTCCCACTTTAGACGTCTTGACAACAGAGGGGGAATGCCGCTTCTTTCTTCTCAACCACACAGTTCAAGCTCTGAAAGACACAGGGCAAAACTGGGAGGCATTCAGAGCCGGGACACTGACATCCAATATGGACATCCCGCCCCAAACTGCAGAGGACGGGTCTCCCGCTTCCGCCTTTCAGGGCGTCTGTGACTCCCTGACTACCAATGCTAAACATAGACTCTGTCCTCCCTCTACCGGTTGCAGAGCTCCAATTGAACAACCATTCCCTGACGGTACATTAGGAGCCAAGCATTGCCATGGAGTCTCTGAAGAACAAAAAGAAGCGTGGGGGATGACAGGGGCTGGGGACATGAAGCTATTCAAGGGCCGGATGAGACAGGAAAGAAGTCAGAAGATGCGGTGCACAATGAAAGCGACAGGCCGTGGCGGGCAGGGCACAGCCTGTTGGCAAATCCCTTTGCCGGCCTTTCCACGGGCCTCACGCTCTTTTAGGAGCTGTGGGGGGCATACGACACACAGTGGTAAAGATAGCATCACCCAAAACGTGACCCAAAAAAGAACTCCTTTGACATCTTTTAGTGTAAAGCCAGCTAATGTGATTGGAGAGGTGAGCTGTTCGTAAAATCGCAATTCCCAGAAGC